AAAGCTAGGGGTGTTTAGCTAGTACCCATCTCAATTAGCTTGGTATCATCCCAATCATATCGGGAAAGGTCTTGTCCCGACTCGACAACAATCAGGACAAGCCTTTGGAAAATGGGATAAAAAATGGGTTCGGGACGAGATGGAACATAGGATTATCATCAGGACATCCTGTCCCGTCTCGAATATTATATATATATATATATATATATTTATTATTTTAAAAATATACATTAAATATATTAATTATATTAACACTCCCTCCATTCAAAAATGTAAGGCCAATGTATTTTTAATCTTTCGAGGTGCAATCATTATCTTTTTTTTCAAAAGTGCCCCTGTTAATAATGACTTTATATTTATTGTAGAGTGTTTACTAGAGGTAAATATGAAAAGATAGAATTAGCTTGAAAGTAGGTAATCATTTTATTGGGAGGTGAGATTTGGTTAAAAATGTCCTATAGTTTTGAATGGAGGGAGTATAATTTATACTTATATTAATTGTATCAATTATAATTTTAATACTTGCAATTCTTATATAAAACTAAAGTTTTTTATATTGATAATTTTAATGACATAGAGTAAACAGAGTGATATCTTTCTTTATAATATATTAATTATATTAATACAATTTATTTTTACATCTATCTATTTAATAAATTTTATTTATATCATATTTTTTGTTTTATTTTTGGAAGAGTAATTAGCTTAGCACATTTCAACTAAAGTAGAAGCATAATAATTTAATATTGTGATTAGCTTACTTGTTGTTGCTACTCTTATAGCCTAGAGATCACTTGTAATTGCTACCATAATATGTAGTTGTGATTAATGTAATTCAATAATTGACTTTAAATTGTTGCAATTTATGTACTTGCATTGTTTTAATTTTAAACTTAATAAATTATATGATTTAAAATTTTAATAAATGTCATTTTCCAGATCTTTATCCAACATTGTTTGATTTATTGGGACAGTGGAACGTCCCGTTCCTATCCAAATTCTTAACAAAATGGGACGAATTTTGAGATGGGACGGGACACAGAACAAAAATTTAATCCTAATCTTTTTTTGGAGATAAGACACGAGACAGGGGTATCCTAGTCCCACCCCTAGTGAAGGAGGTTAATTCCTTACAATATAGGGAACCAAAATTTGAATTTTGGTTGGAAAATGTGCCTACATTTAGGACTAGAAAAAATGGAATAAAATTGATTGAAAAAATAAAGGTAAAAATAATATGATCAAAAAGATTAGTAAACCACATTTATAAATGAAAGAGGTAATTTAGTTCATGAGGTTGGAAATCATGACTCATGATATTTTTGGAGGATGTGTGATAATTCTTATATTTATAATATATATTAATGAGTTTCGTGCTTAATATAAGGAGGAAGGATAATTTAACTCATTTTTATATTAATTTTTTCAATTCATTTTATTTCATTATTTTTTAGCAACTAAATGAAATTTTACTGTATGATCGTGCCTCAAATAAAATTATCTGTAATAAAAATATATTTATCAGCAATTAAAAGAGTGCTACACCAAATTTGGGGCGATAGGATGGCAGGAGATTATTAGTTAGACCCAAATTTAACTGGGGGCAGAAACAGCAGCTGTGTCGCATGACAATTGAATTCAACACGTGAAAACCATTTGGGGTGAAGGAAGCCGAAAGCAAAAGGAACGGAGCTGTTTTGAACGAGTATCAGGTTACGTGAGTGATAAGTTTGTTAGCATTAGACATTCAATTAATTAATTATAAACGAACGAAGCTTGTGATAGATAAGGCTGGGAAGGTTGGCTCCTAACGCTTGAGGGTTTTAAGTTTTTAACCATTGAATACTCATGGAAGACGGGGTTGTAATTTTATTTTACTCGTTGGATATGCCCACAACGCCACAACCATATTTTCCAGCATTTAACGGGCAAGCTGTATATATTTTTCAGCATTTTATTTATGGGCGGGCGTTTTGTTGGATCAACGACTGCGCCATATTCAGGTCCAATCAATCCAGTGGGCATGCATCTTACTTGAATCTCCATCTCCGCAGTCCTCTTCTCCATATATATCCCCATCATCTCCTTGCCCCTTCATCATCCTTTTTAGACCTCATTTCCGCAACCTGACGCTGGACAACATCCATATTCCGTATCTCCTGTAGTCTCTCGAGTGTAGGATCCACATGTTGCAATCTTTCTCTGTTGTTTTCCTCTACTGGTTCTGCGTTTTCTCATTGACTCCATCTCATTCCTCTCCAAACCTGACTCTCTATAACCTTCGCTTCTTTAATTAGCCCCATTAATTATCCCGTCTTGCGAAGCCGAGTTCAAAGACAGGCATGGCTTCCAGCAGTGGCAGTGCTGGGTCGTGCTGTGTATCGTCAGAGCTCTGGCTCTGAGGGAGATGTCACGGAGGAGAGGAAGAGGAAGAGGTTGGTCTCCAATCGGGAATCTTCCCGTCGATCCACGATGAGGAAACAACACCACCTCGATCATCTGGTTGCCCAATTAGGTCAGCTCAAGAGTGACAGCCTCCAGATCATTGCAAGCATTCACATCACCGCCAAGCTGTGCCTGGGTGTTGAGGCCGAGGATGCGCTTCTCCGGGTTCAGATGGCAGAGTTAAACAGCAAGATTGCAGTCTCTTGATGAAATCATAGATTTCATACACTCGAGAAATCGCCTCTTGGATGGCAATGGAGACGCCCGGATTAATGATTTCGGCTTCACCAACCCATGGAACTCTGTGTCTGTCTCTGTCCATCAATTGATCTTGGCCTCAGCCGATGACTTGTTGATGTATTAATGTATTTTCATCTTCATGATTCATATGGTTGCTTTTTAATGCTAAATGATAATCACTAAGCACCTGGAATTTTCTTGTTTCTGTGCTAGGCTCTTTTCTGGTCGCTGAACTGCTATTTGTTTCGTCCCTTTTGTGTTTCATATTTAATTGTTCTTTGTGGTCTTTGGATTCTTTGAGCAAAACTTGATGTTATTGTATGCGTGATGGCCGCTGAATTCCGTAAAGCCAAAACTATAACACATAGATCACTCTTTCGCTTGACACTTCAATTATGCATTGGCTTGCAAAGGACAATCATATTTTGTGATGACCTTGATGCTTTCTGAATAAGACCATCAACCGGCACAAGTTATAATGCGGAGGGGCAGCACGCTCAAGCCAAACTACGGTTAACTGGCTAGGAAATTCAATCTGTGCATTGCACGGAGTAAAATAATATTACGGTTCATCGGTAATATTTGAAATTTGAATCAGGAAAAACATGTGCCATTAAAATAATGTCTGCAATTTCAGGCCATCTTAATCTAATTTAAAAAATACATCGCCAAAACCCAAATCCTTCTAACAAAATGTAGCTTCATGCACATGATGCCGCTAAATTTTTCAAGGCAAACGAACTGACGGTAAAGCCATCTTAATCTGATTCCCTTGAATGAAATAGAATGATGCTTCGCACGCTCCATCTTGATATCTATATAGTGTTTGGTTAAAAGGAAAAAGAAACACAGAAATTTCAATGATCCCTCTCCAAATCTCCTCACCTTTAATTTGGAGGGGAAGGAAGTACAAACACTATAACATAGGACTATATGCATCAATAGGTTCTATATATCCCCAGTCAGCTGTTGAGTAATCTTTCACTGTCCATTATATTTTATTTGTCAACCGCTCATGCTTTTACCTATCACCATCCTTTGTATCGGGATGGATTTCTTTCGACTTTGTTCTTATCAAATTAAATATATACATCAGAGAGAAAATGACGAGAAAAATGAGCTGAATCTTATCATTCCAATCCAACTGGTGAGACTTCCAAAAATAGCAGGCGACTCCGACTGACACGTGTACCAGAGACTTACAACTGATTGAGCAAAGCTTACAACAGAATTGTAACAAGCTAGCTGACTCATACATCCATCCAATAGTTCGAGTGTATTCTCGTTTTGGTAATTGATAACTTTAAAAAACGTTGTCATCCTTTTCACATCATCCGCAATTGTAGCTACAATACTGGTCCTGTTTATATGACAGAAAAATTATAAATTATTTCATTAAATTTTTTACATAAATTTTTCCTTTTAATTTACCATGTAGTGAATATTAAAAAGATAAAATATATTGTTAAAGTATATATATTTAATAAGGATAAAATTAAGAATTTATTAAATTTTAAAATAAAGTTAATAAATTTTAAAATTTTTTTTTAATTATAGTAAAACATGTTGGAAGTAACTTATAAATAATGCAAAAGGAGTATATTACTAATTTCAACCAAATGATGATTTTAACAAACCCAGGGCTCCTCTAAATTCTTCCAAATCAAACCTAGTTTATAAATGTGATTCCTATCTCTCTGGAAGAACACTTGGGGCGTGGAGAATTGAGTAGGGAAAAATATTTATAGCAAATTTATACGTACGGAGGAAGCAAATTAATTGATAAATAAAAAGGCCAATCCATAACTAGGAAAGAATAGCGAAAGCAGGAGTGTGTAAGTGGATAATATGATCTTAGTTACTTCACTTGTGTGTGGAAAAGTTGCTAAGTTCTAACAATCTAACGGACAAGGAACAGGATAATATTTAATTTTATTAGAAAAAAGGATGATGCCTGAATTTTTGTGGTTGATATATAAAATATATCAAGAACTTGTTATTAATTAGCTGTGTTATTTATGATATACGGAGGACGGGTACGCGTGTTGCAAACAGGAGGCCACGTTGCACGTGAAGTGCTAAGCTTCAAATTCGCCTTATCTTCTTAGCTAGGCCAGAGCTTATCGTTACTTATTATTTTTGTCAGGCATGCACTTGCAGATGGCTACAGATAGTCATGAAGAGGCTGTCAGCGAGGGGAGACCAGGTGTCACAGTCTCAACTCTCAACTTAATCACCCGACACGCGTCAAAAATCACAACCGCTTCGCCTTGCATGCACCTCGTTAATTATATAAAGCAAATCGATAGTGCATGCACAGTATCTCGAGAGTTTCAGGAACAACCTATACATAAGGAATTGAAGCAGCAGCGTCTATTTGTGTGGGGATCGAATTAATGGCACATTACCAGAAGCATCAGTACGGGGATGCAAGGTGGACGGATGAGTATGGGAAGCCGGTTAATTATTATGATAAGAGGAGCGGCACAACAGGATACGGAGGCGCCGGGGTGACGGGGACTGATCACCTGAGAGAGAGCTCGAGTTCGTCGGAGGATGAGGTGGTGGACGAGAATGGGGTGCGGAGAAAGAAGGGAATGAAAGAGAAGATAAAGGAGAAGATACCGGGCGTGGGAGGCCACTCAGCCCATGCCCACCAAACATCCACCACCACTCCTGGTGGTGCTGGCTCCAGTGAGGATCACCACCACAAGAAAGGTTTTATGGACAAGGTCAAGGAAAAGCTTCATGGTCACAACTAACTCCCTCGGTCGATCGTCTCCTTTGTCTCTGTTTTTTTGTGGCTACTTATATTTGAGCTTTTGCCCTTCCTGTTTATGCTGGACTTTACTTCATGTATACACTTTCAATTCACTGAATCGTCTGCTTTGTACGTGATCTAATATGTAACGCACAGCTGGCACGCCCAATGTTTGCGTCAACCAAAATTATATATCCTCCGTATCGTTAATTACGCGGCAACAACAAATCCGTCCATGAAATATCACTTGGATTTAACGAAGCCCCGCCTCTTCCGTGCTTTCAAATATATCAAATACGTGTTTCGCGCTTCCATGGAGAGCCATACACAAAAAATCAGAAACTTCAATTTTGTGTAATAATAAATTAATAATATATTTAAACGATAGTACATCTTTGAAATAAAAAGAGATGGATTTAAGCGTCACTTGAACATTGAACCGTGGTGACAGTGGTGTGATGACAAAGAGCAAGATGCCCTGCACGCCTTACGAGATTTCAAGGATGCACGCCATGTTTGGTTGCGTATCGTTGAGCCCTTGGAAAGTTGGGGTTTTCTTTAGCCTGAATTTGAGGGCGTGGTGTAAGTATAATCTCGGCTCCAATCACGGACATGGCTCCGGTAATTGGAGTGTGGGAGGTTTGCTGTTACAGTGTTACTTGTTGGTCATTGTGGAACCGAAGGAATGAGAAGATTTTCAAAAATAAGAATGACAGCACTCTGAGAGTCTTGTGGTTCATGCTAATGCTATTCTGTGTACAACAACTGAGAGGGATTAATACCTGAGAAAATGTCCTTGTTGTTCACTCAAGAGGAATGATCATTGTTAATGTTGACGTACGGGGCCTTCTCGCAGCGGGATGTCTGGAGGCTTTCATGCAGAGATAGCTTCTCTGCTGAATTGTGTGTGGGGGCTTGTCTCTTGGGAATAAAATTAAGGGTCTGGGATATGGGTTTTCGACATGCTATAGTTACAAGTGATTGTTCCCAGGCGTTTTCTTTAATCAATTCAACTTCTGCTAGACTACATGAGGGTGAAGCCATTCTTACCGAAATCAAGCTTCTTTTTCAGAGGGATTAATTGGCAAGTGAAATTCCTGCAGGTCACGCGTGAAGTTGCTGCTGATGCGCATTGCATGTCTGACTGGCAAGGCTCCCTCTTTTGCTTTTGGTTTTCTTCGGGATGGTGCTTTTTAGTCTGTTTTGCTTGTCCTTGTTTTATTCCTTCCCTTTGTATCAAAAAACAATCTGAAACTTCAATTATTGGAATAAATTAATATATTTAAACTATACATGCTTACAATAAAAAGAAATGATTGTCGTCCATAATAGTAAAAATCAATATTTAAATTAAAGAAATAAAATTTACAGTAAAGGTGATTAATATCCATCAATACTCCATCTTAATTAATTTAAGATTGATGTAATCATCTTATAATCAATGATTTATAATGTTAGGATGCACACATCTACTTTTTTTTTTTTCTTAGTACTTATTTGGTATAGACAAGCATAAATTTTAAGTCAGAAATATAGATTAAAATTTTTTAAAATTTAAAAATGTGTCATTCTGATTTATTTTGATTGGCTTGATACTAGCTAAGTCAACTATTTCACCCATTCTCAAATTTCACAACTCTCCCTCATGTTTGAATTGGATGTTGGATCGCTTACTAGTCAGGTCTGGCCGTCCAGGCTGTCAAAACATTAGATGAAAATTGAATGGATTTTCGAAGGCGAACTCTTGAATCAAGACCAACGAAAAATTGAGTTCCCGTGTGTGGGGTTCTTGCAATTCTTTTTTTAAGTAATATTGTCAATATTTATTTTTTAACAATAATTGCTTAGTATTTCAGGCCCTGAACAAATTTAAATTTGTGGATTTTTGTCCAACCTCATACAGCGCACAGTTTCTTGTTTATTAGTTGGACAAGGAATTTTTATTGAAGAGGTGTAGAGTTAAATGTTGATTGAAGTGATTTGCAATTTTATTGTATATTTTAGATTGACGTGTGTGAGGAATGGGAATTGTGGCGATAGAGATTGAAAGAGATGGCAGTGGAAGCAGGTGACCACAAGTTGGATGCTGTAAGGAGAGGCCATCCTTCCTTGCTCCAAATATAGACCCATCATTCTTTATTTCTCCCAAACAAACCTGATTCCCCCATATTACCCTCCTCCTTTCCCTATATTTGCCCTCCCTTTCAATTCAACCACGCCATTCTATTCCTACCGGAGCATGTCACCCCATCCTCCTACGCATTCTTCTTTATTATCACTTTTATAATCCACACTGCATGCATATGAATTTGAGGAAATAAAAAAAAAAAAAGGCCTGAAAAATATCTTTTATATTGCTTATTATTATCTTAGCAACGACAAACATAATGATTTTTCTTTATAAATCTTCAACGTTGTTTATCACAATTTGATTCAGCCACTTGACCACATTTAGTATAAAGTGTGTCTCTTTAAAAGTGTGTTGTAAGGGAGTTTATTTTTTTCGTTCATAGTGTTGCAAGAGAGTTTTCATTTTGGAGATCTTATTTACCTTTATATTATTTCATCAAAAACAAAAACATGGCTAGTCACGACTCATGAATTTAAGCTTGAATACAAGGGGTGACTGTTCAGTGTCCTGGCGGGGAAAAAACAGAAGGATAGCACAATGGGCGGAATATTATCGCGGGGATAACAACACACTTCTTTGGGGAACGACGATGATATAAACGCATCTAAGATCTAGCTGGCAAACGTTTCATTTCTTTCCTGGAAAACATCAATTTGAGAAGTTTGTCAATTACACTAATCAACATTTTAGAATGATATCGGGATGACTAATATGGTAAATTACGCGAAATCTAAGGTCTATCATGGGATAGAAATATATATATATATATATATATTTTAAAAGTCCCCGAGCCGATCTTTCGAGCTTGCCCCGTTTGAGGTTTGTCAATTGTTGTGTTGGGTCGGGGTTGGCTGAGCAGAGGCGGACTCTATATTAGTTAGTTTTGCCCAGCTGCTGTGCTCAACTACTTAGCGCCCCTTCTCTGCCCCCTCGTTTTCTTCGGTCCCTCTTTCAATCTCTGTAATGGGGGACGAGAAGAAGTCCAAACCTGCTGGTGCCTGGCCTACTGTCAAACCTTTCGTCAATGGCGGAGCCTCTGGTATGCTCGCCACCTGTGTTATTCAGCCCATTGATATGGTTAAGGTAAACCATTACCCTTTCCTTCCTCCTGCTTGTCTGTCTGCAATCCCCTAATGGCAGTTGATCCTTTTTGTTTCATTCTCTTTAATAAGAAAAGATGTCCACATGGATTGTAATGTCTGCCATGGGATTTAGATCATGAGTTTTACTTTTCTGTTGCATCTTTCGATTTTGTGGATGCTGTTTTCCCCCTTCTAATTATTTTATTTTATTTTACTGGGTTTGCGTAGGTGAGGATACAATTGGGTCAAGGGTCAGCTGCTCAGGTGACATCCACTATGCTCAGGAACGAGGGTGTCACTGCATTCTACAAGGTTTGATTCTGCACATTTCTATAAATTCGATTTTGCTCAAGATACGTCTTTATGACTGGTTTTAGAAACTATTCCCTTCGATTTTGAAGCTGCTTCATCAGTGATGGATCCTTACATTAATTTTAGTGGGATGGCTTGGGGATGTGGTTATCGAAGTTCAATCGGATTGATTCCGTTCTGATCGAGGTCAATCTTGATTATGGGGGAAAAAATCCTTACGAGGAATGAAGGGGTTTGTTCATTGGGATTATATGTCCCGCTTACTGGTTTCTGTATTTATGAGTTTTCCCCATTTTTGACCTAGACTTTCAAGCGAAAGTAAATTTTATACATTATTATTTTTAGTATATGAAAATAATTCTTTTCTTCGAAGTTTAGCCTCTCTTTTTGTTCCTTTTTTAAAATTTTGGTTATGTTTTGTTGTTTATCTTTCACTGATGCATAAAATTACTGATATTTAAACCAAATTCCTATATATAGGGTCTATCTGCAGGATTACTCAGACAAGCTACATACACTACTGCTCGACTGGGATCATTCAGGTGAGAATTTTATTATCACGTTTGTATGTCTTTATAAACACTGAGGAAAAATTTCATAGCCTTTTCTGCTTGTGGCATTATTATATGCTCCCGACCATTGTTTCTCCAACAAGTAGTTTTATTAACTGGAAGGCTGATAGTTTTTATATAATTTAGGATGCAATGGTCTGTCATTATTGTTTAATCTAATGCCAATAATAATTAATTCTTCTTGGGGTGAGTGATCTTCTGACGTCATCTATATGTTAACTTTTTTCAGTTGAGCCATCATCTGATTTAATTTCACTCTTTGCTAGGATATTGACAAACAAAGCAGCTGAGGCTAATGATGGGAAGCCACTGCCACTCTATCAGAAAGCTCTATGTGGGCTGACTGCTGGTGCTATTGGAGCAACTGTTGGCAGTCCAGCTGATTTGGCACTCATACGAATGCAGGCTGATGCAACTTTACCTGCTGCTCAGCGCCGAAATTATAAAAATGCTTTCCATGCTCTTTATCGTATCGTTTCTGATGAAGGGTTTTTGGCACTTTGGAAAGGCGCAGGCCCTACTGTAGTAAGAGCTATGGCATTGAACATGGGAATGCTTGCATCTTATGATCAAAGTGTTGAATTTTTCAAGGATTCCCTTGGTTTTGGTGAAGCTGCTACCGTGCTAGGTAAATAACCATTTTGCTAGGACTGAATTATGTTTTGGTTTGAAGCCATTGGCTTTGGCTTTCGTTACTGTGCTAATAGAACAAGTTTATACGACTCTGCTTGTCAAAATAGGACTAACAATCTAACATGAAACCCATATGCTTGGAAGTGCAGGATGCTAGTTATCCTTGGCTTGAACTGTTGATCATGTTTTGACATCTAATTGTTATAGTTAATCAGAGAACAGTACAGCTTGGGATGTGGTGTAGGCATAGGTGGTGGGGCATGAACCAATTTAATAAGCACCTGTTTGGTATGCAGAATAGAAAAGAAAATGGAATTAAAACAAATGATTTTGTAGTTTGGATATGGCTTTTGCTTGCTTGCATAAACATAAGAAGGGAGAATTACAT